AAACCATTTCAGGTGACTACCTCTTGAAGCTCATGGAGAGAATGCCAAGAGTGTGCAAAGCAGTAATCAGAGCAAAGGGTGGCTATTTTGAAGAAACTAGAATATAAAACATGTTTTCAGTTATTTCACCTTTTTTTGTTAAGTACATAACTCCACATGTGTTCATTCATAGTTTTGATGCCTTCAGTGAGAATCTACAATGTAAATAGTCATGAAAATAAAGAAAACGCATTGAATGAGAAGGTGTGTCCAAACTTTTGGCCTGTACTGTATGTAGAGTGAAAACTGTGGGCGTGACAGCGAGTTAAAGAGAAGTGTTAGAGAAGCTCTCTGCACTCTGACAGTTGAACATTTCGTCCAATACAAACCAATGTAAAAACCTGAGGAGGGCATTTTTACCAAGCTCCAACAGGTTTGAATATTTCAAAAAGTTTAAATGGGATCTGAAAGTTGAATACAGCCCAGAATGTACAAAAGGTGGGAAACATTTTAATGTTTGCATGGAGTTCCTACAGGAAGGTACGAATGAGGAGACAGGAGTTGAAGATGCTTGAAAAACCTTGAATTTATGTCAAATTTGAATGTGGAAAATGTCCTTAAAAACACTGAATATTTCAGAAAGTGTTAAAGATATGAATGAAAAAACTACAAACAATAATGTCCTAATTGAGCTGAAAGTTTCAATGTTTAAGTGAAGTTTGTATGTTGAAAAATGTGGAAGGAGTAGGAGCCAACTGTCGAAGCCCACCTCATGGTGGCGCTAGAGAAAAAGTCAGAAGGATTCGTCATCTGGGGAACATGACTACACAATTTTTGTCAATCCCTTGAATGGTTGTTAAGATGTTTTGACATCACAGTGAGTTTCAGTGTGTCTGACATGTCGGTGTCTCCTGCTTTCCATCTCAGGTACCGTGGCCGCCCCACCCCCGCTCCGGTCGCAGGACAGGTTAAGGAGAAGGAGCCGCAGCCGGATGCCGGAGGATGCACACACGCCTCAGAGGAGATGGTAGGAGGACACTAGCACGCAGTCACCAAAAGACGCAACCACTGATGTGTCTCAGCTCAGTAGCTACTAGCTGCATGTATACGACTCCTCTGCAGGCCGTTATCAAAAATGTTAGCATGAGTTTGCAGATGTATTCAGTTGATGTCAGGATGCAATGAAATCAACAGGCAAAAACTAGAATTTTGGAATTTAAAAAAAATGGAATCTTGTCAAAACATTATTTTTTGTCAGTGTTATTGTTGCGGAGGTTTGTCCCTTAACAAAAAGAAATCAATGTGTGCCCAGACACGTTCCCCCTTCTTTTAACCCCCGAAGCCCGAATTAACTAACCACAGATTCTCCCGTCCACCAGGGTGTTTTGTGTCCCAACGGCTGCGAGCTGAAGACCACTCTGCTGAAGATGGAGAAGAACGTCAAGACGGTAATTAAACTACATTTTCATTTTTCTGATGCATGAAAGAATCTGCACTGATCACAAACTGGAATTTCGGTTAAACTGATATTTTTTTTGCATTAAAATTGCTAATAAATCTAAACACGTGAAATTAATCGATTGCGTTCTCGACATATTATCGTTGAGAAAAGATTGGTATCGACTGTTTTCTGTTCACAGAGCATTAATGAACTCAAGCCTCAGGTGGATGAGTTGTCCCGATCCTCCAACTCAGTCTACAACTACGTCAACAGCCTGTCCGTCTCTCTGAGGGAGAGGCAGAGAATCATCAACAGTAAGAAACACCTCATGACTTTTGTTTGTAGGGCTACATTAGCCAGGTAACAATGGTTAACCGTGGTTTATGAAGTACAAAGTAGATCCACTAGCTTAAACATGAGCACAAAATACTGCAGCATCAGTTTAAAACCTCTTGCACTCCACCCCCATTTTGTGTCAAAAACACCTAAAATGACATACCCAAATTAAAATGACTGTAGCTTCTGAACCGCTCTGACTACATGCATGCATGAGGTCTTGCCAGAAAGAAAACTCTCTGAAGTTTCTTGTGAAAGTGTCAGAAACACTCTAGGTGATACAGAGACAGAGTAATGGGCCTCTGAAGTTTGTAAAAATTTGAAGATTTTGCGTAAAATAAAATAAAAAATGATTTTCAGGATGAATAACTGTCTGTGGCTTCATCTGAGCAGGTAAATGACACTGTGGGGCTGTAGGCACACTATCAATGAACACTTGTTTCAAATTTGAAGAAGACTGCTCAAAGTATGACCATTCTACAGTGTTTTTACCATGAAAAGATCCAGGCGGAGCTCCAAATGACAAGTGGGTCACTGTGCTTCAAAACAGTTCTATCAGTGATCAAACAACACTCAGCCAGCTTCAAACATTGTACCTTATTGAAATCAGGTGTGATTATGATAGCTGATGTTGTTTATGACACAGAAACACCATAAAATATCACCAAATAAAGCCATATGAAACCTGAAAGTTATGATCCCACTTTCTAGACGGTATATCTCAGCCAAAAATAGTGGTAGGAGTGAGACTCTTACCTTTTATAAACCAGCTAAGTCCCCGCTAACAGCTCCACATAAGATCGCGAGTAATCCTTTAACTTTTCCCGTCGAAAAACGGCATGACATGACTTGTCACCACTCATCGTGATTTTGGACTTTGTGTGTTTAGGCTGCTCTGGTGCCAAATACATAATAAATTCCTGAATCCGGCAATACCAAACATCACATGGTTTGATGACGTAGTGCGCCTGGGAGATACCATTTAACAGAGGAGGGGGGGAGCGAGGACGTCGGCGTCCTGGCGGAGTTAGAGAGGTTAAACAATGAAATCAAGACATCTTTTTATGCCTCTGAGCAGCAGTAGCTGCAGCTGGAGGCATTATGTTTGCAGGTTGTCCGTCCCATTCTCATGAACACAATATCTCAAGAACACCTTGTTGGGACCTGACCTCATAACAGGCCTCCAATTAAAGTATCAAAAGGGCTGTCAGGAGAAATCATTAATAATTATTAGTAATAATTATAGATTATGTTAAATGATGTGAATTAATTTACATTAAATTGATTCATGGGGCACATAGCCATTATTGGTTTACGATGGACATCATATGCCACTTCAACAGATGGTAGTCACCCAGACTTAGTCCCAAATCTGTGTCGCAGACTAGCTTTAAATTTTTGGCAACACCGTTTTGTCATTTTGAAACAAAAGTTCCTCCTCTAACATTTTTCTCTGCCTCTCTTGATCCTCTCAGACAACAACAGGGTGGTCGGTGATTACACTGATCGAGTGGAGGAGCAACACGCCTACATCAAGGAGACGGTGGACACTTTTTTCCCCTCCAACATCAGAGTGCTACAGGTAAATAAGAACTGACACGAGTCCAAAAGAGAAAACAGCCAGTACATATAAAACAATTAACCCAATCTAATCTTTAAATAATGTTTCTATTTGAAACTGTAAGTAAAGAATAATCTTGGAAAAAAATAGAGCTTAAATCTATTTCAGAAACATACCTGAAAAGAAGAGGTAATGGTCAGATCTCAGTATGTAGTAACGTAATGTACACTGTGACGTGTGGCTGCAGGGGGTTCTGGACAAGATCAAGCTAAAGATCCAGAAGCTGGAGAAGGCCATCCAGGCCCAGAGGGAGGAGTGCAAGGAGCCATGCAAGTCCAAATGTCCCATACCGGTGGTGTCTGGTAAGTGCGGTTCCACAAAGTGAAAGTGTTGGACTTACTTTTATCCTCCAGGGAGCAAGAATGTTAAGAAATGTGTGGTAACTTTACTCGTGTGAGAAGTTGTTAATTTGACCCGATGGTGACGCTAAAGAAAAGGTCACAGGGGTTTCCCAAAAATGTGAAAATTCATCCTATGTGGGTCCTGAATATCTCTACATATATATGTATCAGCCAAAACCTTAAAACCACTGCCAGGTGAAGTGAATCACGTTGATCATGTTGTTACAATTCAATCTTCTGAGGGGAAAACTTGGGTCCTGGAATTCACATGGATGCCACCTGATACGCTCCACCCACCCAGACACTGTTGCAGATCAAGAATACCCCCTCATGGTAACAGCAACCCACCCCCAGTAGGACAACGCATCATGCCACACTACAAAAACTGCTCCTGAGTGGCCAAAGGGATGTGACAAAGAACTCAAAACACCAACCTAGCCTCCGAGTTCCCCAAATTCCAATCTGATTGACTATTCATGGGATGTGCTGATACCCCACGTCCCAACCGACAGGTCTCAAAGGATATCCCACCAACTCCCCTGTGCCAGACACCACAGGACACCCCCCAAAGGTCCTGTGGCCATGCCTTGATATGTCAGAGCCATGTCCGATCCAAGGAGGCTCCACTGTGGGTCGCGGTACCTCGTCTCATGAGTGCTTGGTCAGATTTGGGTCTGGGGAACTTGGAGGTCTGGTCGAGGCATTAAGCTCTTTGTCACCTTACTCAAGTCATTCCTGTGCAGTGCAGCCATCGGGGACTGCGATTGCCATGGGGGTGGATACTTGGTCTACAATGGTGGTGCATGTCAAGTTGCATCCAAATGAATGTCAGGACCCAAGGTTCCCCAGCATAACATTGCATTGTAACAAGATGATCAATATTATTTACTTAACCTGCCACTGGTTTCGATGCGTTGGCTGATTTGGATATGCCAAATTTGATGGCCGTCTGGAGTTACCTTGTCTTGGATCAAAGTATTGGGCAGACGAATAAACAGACAAGCCATTTCAGAATCAGAATTTGGTTTATTGCCATGTAGGGTTTCACCTACAAGGAATTTGCTTTGGTGTATTGGTAAAAAAAAATTAAAGTAAAATAAGAAATATGTGTCATATATACAGAAATGGTAGAAACAGATCAAACAGGTCTTGTACAGAAGTTTTTCTATATCAACCGTTCGTCTCTGTGATTCAGGTAAGGAGTGTGAAGACATCTTCCGCCGTGGAGGAAAAGACTCCCAGATGTACATGATCCAGCCCGACTCCTTCTACCCTCCATACAAGGTCTTCTGTGATCAGACGTCCCAGAATGGAGGTGAGAGTATAACTCACTTAGGTCATCTGTTCATTTTCTTTTTGATTATTTAGTTTGTTTTTAATGTTTATACTTTGGATATTTCAGTAGTAACTTCTTTTATTTTTTCAGGATGGCTTCTCATCCAGAACAGGCTCGATGGCAGTGTTGACTTTGGCCGCCGCTGGGACGAATATCGCCGCGGTTTTGGCAACATTGCATTTGATGTTGGCAAGGGTCACTGTGAGACTCCCGGTAAGACTTTCAAAATATGAACTTACTTTCAATGGGTGAAAATTATTTTCTCATCCAAGCTTTAGCATTTATTTAATTAGTAACCTGTATTTTCATATCCACCATTATTCCTATAATCTGTGGTTGATGACCGTACCGTTCTCCTTCGTCATGTGACAGGTGAATACTGGCTTGGCAATGACCGTATTAGTCAATTGACCAAGATGGGCCCCACTGAGGTTCTCATTGAGATGGAGGACTGGACAGGAGCCAAGGTGAGTCCTTAAAAAAATTACTGCAGAAATGAAGAGGTCATTGACAGAAAATTAATCTGCAACAATTTTGATAATAAATTAATTCATTTTTGGAGCAAAATTCAAAACATTCTCAATCAAATTCAACTGTCTATTCAATTTTATTCAACAAGCCCAATATCACAAGTCATAATTTGCCTCAGAGGGCTTCACAGCATATGGCATCCCTCAGTATCGAAAAAACTGTCAAAAATGTCATAGTATAGAATGTAAAAATTCATAAAAAGACCATAGTATTGCATGCCATAAAATTGCTATATAAAAGAGTAATGCAGTAAAGAATGCCATAACTATTGTCTTAAATAAGTTCATTAAAAAAAAGTATTGTCATAACAAAATTGAACTTTCATGAAAGGTCACAGGATATATAGTGATTTTTTTTTAAAAGTTGTAGTATTATATGTCAGGAAAACATAAAAAAGAAATAGTATTGTGTGTAATAATCATAAAAATATACTATGTCATTTTTCTTTGGAAAAAAGTTGCAGTATTGTATGTCCAAAAAAATAAGGGGTAAAAAGTCATAGTATAGCATGTCAGAAAACGTCATACTATAGTATGTCGAAAAAAACTGAAATAAACGTCATAGTATAGTATGTCGGAAAACATCATAGTATCGCATATCGAAAAACGTCATAGTATAGTATGTTGAAAAAACTGAAATAAACATCATAGTATGGTATGTCGAGAATAAATGAAAACGTCATAGTATAGTATGTTGAAAAGACTGAAATAAACGTCATAGTAAAGCATGTCGGAAAACGTCATAGTATAGTATGTCGAAAAAAACTGAAATAAACGTTATAGTATAGTATGTTGAAAAAACTGAAATGTCATAGTATAGCATGTTGAAAAATGTTATAGTATAGTATGTCAAAAAAAACTGATGAAAACGTCACAGTATAGTATGTCGGAATATGTCATAGTATAATATGTTGAAAAACCTGAAATAAACGAGATAGTATAGTAAGTTGAAAAACGTCATAGTATAGTATGTCCAAAAAACTGAAATAAACGTCATAGTATAGTATGTCGAAAAAATTGATAAAAAAAAAACATCATACTGTAGTATGTCGAAAAACGTCATAGTATAGTATGTTGAAAAAACTGAAATGAACGTCATAGTATGTCGAAAAAATTGATGAAAAACACGTCATAGAGTAGTATGTCAAAAACGTCATAGTATAGTATGTTGAAAAAACTGAAATGAACGTTATAGTGTAGTATGTCGAAAAATTGATGAAAACACGTCATAGTGTAGTATGTTGTAAAACTACATAGTATAGTATGTCAAAAAAAACTGATAAAAACGTTGTAGTATAGTATTTTGAAAAAATTGATAAAAAAACGTCATAGTGTAGTATGTTGAAAAACGTCATAGTATAGTATGTCTAAAAAACTGATAAAAACGTCATAGTATAGTATGTCGAAAAAAACTGAAATAAACATCATAGTATGGTATGTCGAGAATAAATGAAAAAAACGTCATAGTATAGTTTGTTGAAAAAACTGAAATAAACATCATATTATAGTATGTCGAAAAAAACTTTCAAAAACGTCATAGTATGGTATGTCCAAAAACGTCAGAGTATAGTATGTCGAAAAACATCATAGAATAGTATGTCGAAAAAACGTTCAAAAACGTCGTACTATTGTATGTCGAAAAATGCCATAGTTTAGTATGTCGGGAAAAAAAAAACTCTCAAAAACGTCATAGAATAGTATGTCAAAAAGCGTCATACTATGGTATGTCCAAAAACGTCATAGTATAGTATGTCGAAAAAACTTTCAAAAACATCATAGTATAGTATGTCGAAAAACGTCATAGAATAGTATGGCAAAAAAACGTTCAAAAACGTCGTACTATTGTATGTCGAAAAATGCCATAGTTTAGTATGTCTAAAAAAAAAACCTCTCAAAAACGTCATAGAATAGTATGTCAAAAAAACTGATAAAAACGTCATAGTATCGTATGTCAAAAAACTTCATAGTATGGTATGTCCAAAAACGTCAGAGTATAGTATGTCGAAAAACGTCATAGAATAGTATGTCGAAAAAACGTTCAAAAACGTTATACTGTTGTATGTCGAAAAATGCCATAGTTTAGTATGTCGGAAAAAAAAAAAACTCTCAAAAACGTCATAGAATAGCATGTCAAAAAGCGTCATACTATGGTATGTCTAAAAACGTCATAGTATAGTATGTCGAAAAAATTTTCAAAAACGTCATAGTATAGTATGTCGAAAAACGTCATAGAATAGTGTCAAAAAAACGTTCAAAAACGTCGTACTATTGTATGTCGAAAAATGCCATAGTTTAGTATGTCGAAAAAAAAAACTCTCAAAAACGTCATAGAATAGTATGTCAAAAAACGTCATAGTAGAGTATGTCAAAAAACGTCATAGTATAGTATGTCGAAAAACGTCATAGTTTAGTATGTCGAAAAAAACCTCTCAAAAACGTCATAGTATAGTATGTCGAAAAAACTTTCAAAAATTTCATAGTATCGCATGTCAAAAAACGTCATAGTATGGTATGTCGAAAAACGTCATAGTATGTCGAAAAACATCATAGTATAGTATGTCGAAAAACGTCATAGTTTAGTATGTCGAAAAAAACCCTCTCAAAAACATCACTTAATAGTATGTCGAAAAACGTCATAGTATAGTATTTCGAAAAAAGTTTCAAAAACGTCATTGTATTGTATGTCAAAAATGCCATAGTTTAGTATGTCGAAAAAAAACCTCTCAAAAACGTCATAGAATAATATGTCAAAAAACGTTATAGTATAGTATGTCGAAAAAAACCTCTCAAAAACGTCACAGAATAGTATGTCGAAAAACGTCATAGTAGAGTATGTCAAAAAACCTCACAGAATAGTATGTCGAAAAACGTCATAGTGTAGTATGTCAAAAAAAACTCTCAAAAACGTCACAGAATAGTATGTCGAAAAACGTCATAGTAGAGTATGTCGAAAAAACTTTCAAAACAACATAGTATAGTATGTCGAAAAAACTTTGAAAAAAGTCATAGTATAGTATGTCAAAAAACGTCATAGTAGAGTATGTCGAAAAAACTTTCAAAAACGTCATAGTATCGTATGTCAAAAAACGTCACAGAATAGTATGTCGAAAAACGTCATAGTGTAGTATGTCAAAAAAAACCTCTCAAAAACGTCACAGAATAGTATGTCAAAAAATGTCATAGTAGAGTATGTCGAAAAAACTTTCAAAACAACATAGTATAGTATGTCGAAAAAACTTTGAAAAAAGTCATAGTATAGTATGTTGAAAAAAACCTCTCAAAAACGTCACAGAATAGTATGTCTAAAAAAGTCATAGTAGAGTATGTCGAAAAAACTTTCAAAAACGTCATAGTATCGTATGTCAAAAAATGTTTCAAAAACGTCATAGTATAGCATGTCGAAACAACGGACAAAAAAGTCACAGTATAGTATGACACAAAAAACGTCACAAAATAGTATGTCGAAAAACGTCAAAGTAGAGTATGTCGAAAAAACTTTGAAAAAAGTCATAGTATAGTATGTCGAAAAAAACCTCAAAAACGTCACAGAATAGTATGTCGAAAAACGTCATAGTAGAGTATGTCGAAAAAACTTTCAAAAACGTCATAGTATCGTATGTCAAAAAACGTCATAGTATTATATGTCGAAAAACGTCATAGTATCGTATGTCAAAAAACGTCATAGTATAGTATGTCGAAAAACGTCATAGTATCGTATGTCAAAAAACGTCATAGTATAGTATGTCGAAAAACG